CTTGTCTCGTATGAGGAACGGCTGAGGGATCAGGGGCGGTTTAGCCTGGAGAAGAGCAGGAGACCTTACTGCTTTCCACAACTACTTGAAAGGAGGCTGTAGCGAGGGGGGGGTCGGTCTCCGTCTCCCTAGTAACAAGCGATAGAACAAGGGGAAATGGCCTTAAGCTGCACCAAGGGAGGTTCAGGCTGGATATTAGGAAGAATTTCTTTACTGAAAGGGTTGTCAGGCATTGGAACAGGCAGCCCAGGGAGGTGGTGGAGTCATCATCCCTGGAGGTGTTTAAGAGATGGGTAGGTGTTGTACTTAGGGACATGGTTTAGTGGTGTTGGTAGAGATAGGACAAAGGTTGGACTCGATGGTCTTGAAGGTCTCTTCCAACAGAAACTGTTCTATGATTCTATGTTTCTATGATTCTATGATTCTATGTCTGATGTCGTGCCTCATTTGTGTCAGCAAGTTTGCAGATGACACCAAGATGAATGATGCAGTTGAGAGAACGGATGCCATCCAGAGGGACCTCGACAGCCTTGAGGAGAGGGCCCGTGTGAACCTCGTGGAGTTCAGCAAGGCCAAGTGCAAGGTCCTGCACCTGTGCAATCCCCAGTATCAATAGACTGGAGGGTGAATGGATTGAAAGCAGCCCTGCAGGGAAGGACTTGGAGATACTGGTAGATTGGACGTGACCTGGCAATGTCAATAATAATTTGCAGCCCAGAAAGTCAATCACATCCTGGGCTGCATCAAAAGAAGTGTGGCCAGCAGGTCAAGGGAGGTGATTCTCGCACTCTGCTACGCTCTGGTGAGACCCCACCTGGAGTACTGTGTCCAGTTCTGGTGTCCCCAGTGCAAGAAAGACGTGGATGTTTTAGAGCAGGTCCAGAGGAGGGTTGTGAAAATGGTCAGAGGGCTGGAACACCTCTGAAGTGAACACTCTGAAGTGAACTGAAGGAAGTCTGTGACAATTGGTGTTGTTTAGCCTGGAGAAGAGAAGGCTTTGTGGAGACCTTATTGCAGCCTTTCAATACTTAAAGGAGGCTTTTAAGAAAGACAGAGAGAGAGTTTTTACCAAGGCCTGTAGTGACAGGACAGGGGGCAATGGTTTTAAGCTGAAAGAGGGTAGATTTAGATTAGATACAAGGAACAAATTTTCTATGGTAAGGATGGTGAGACACTGGAACAGGTTGCCCAGAGAAGTTCTGGATGCCTACCCCACCCCTGAAGTGTTCAAGGCCAGGTTGGATGGGGCTTTGAGCAACGTGTCCATGGCAGGGGGGGTTGGACTAGATGACTTTTGAAGGTCCCTTCCAACCCAAACCATTCTATGATTCTATGATTTGGACTCCTGTTAACATGTCTCAGGACTGGTTTATTTTATACATCACATCTCTGCAATTCTCTTTCTCAGATTTAAGGCTTCTTATTCTTAAGAGTCTCTGTTAGGTCAGGAAGACAGTCTGGGAAAGCATGCAAAGCCAAAATGTGAAATAAAGAATAACCCACCCTGAGCTATAAAGGATTCCCCAGTGGAAACATTTATTCAGAAGAGTGGTTTCTGTTTGGAGTTCAGGTGCATTAATGGTAGCTTTAGCCACTGGCCTGCTCTTCGCAGGCTATCACTTGTATGGAGCTCTCAGCATTGTCTGTCAGTTCTTACCTTGAGAGGCCGTTTCAGGTCTTCAGACTAGTGGTGATACTGCTTTTCTTCTGGCATTGTGTATGTAACAGACCTGAGATGGCCCTACGCACCAGGACCTGCTGTGTCACACCAGCACTTTTCACGAGGCTTATAAACTCCTGTGGTAATTACATAATGGAGCAGTGCAGACGTGTACTGGGATACTTGTTTTTTTCCACAGCATGCTTCTAAAGGTTCACAGACAGGTCTCTCTTAAGTCCCCACTTCGAACATTGCCTATAGACAAACCTTCTGAAATGTCCTTAGTAGCTCCAAAAGGAATTGGCCCATCCTCAAGATTTACCAGCTCTGTGATGTTTATTAAGGGTTGATTTTTTTCACACTTCTGATTGATTGGCAATTATGGTTTCTGTCTATTATAGGTTTCCAGTGTAGAATTAGTGATTACTTTTCTCTGTTGACGGTGTTATGAGCCAACTTCTGAGACTTTGGCAGTTCTCTGAATTGCTCATCATCATCTTGAATTTAGATTTCATGATAATTAGGATGCCTGAGTTGGATAGTGAAAGAGGGCAATCTGATCTAACCCTCCGTCATGTGAGTTACTATTTTTCAAGGCTTCTGCGTGTTGTGAAAGCAGACTGGGAAGCTCCTCAAATTGTTGAAGGTGAAGGGGATAAAAGTGAGTTTTCTTTAACAAGCCGCTTCTGAGTGGTTTCCATCTTGACATCTTGAGTGTCAGCAGGACATAGGGGTGTGTGTGGTCATGTAACACTATAAACAGGAATTAAACAGACTGTGTTTTGTAAATGCACATTGCTGAAATTTGCTCCCAACTTGCTTTTATGTCAAGACTCGAGCCCTGCTCCAGCGCAGCGTGGGCTGGTTTACTCCGTGTATCATCTTGGTTCTCAGTTCTTTCAGACGCCATGTGAGAAAAGGAACCTCAAACCAAAATGGGCCACTAGTCACAACCAGATGTTGGGCTGCCTTGTGTGCCAGGAAGTGGAGGGTGATAAATCACAGCCAGACATGTGCTGGGGTGTGACAGCCTGTGCACATGTGATTGCCATTAACGATTCGCTTTGCAAGCGCAAGCGAGAGTGAATGAAAATAACAAGGCAGTAAACAAAGAGGGGCTCGGCGTCTGTGGGGCTGCGTGCTGATTTTCAAAGGTGGTGGGGTAAGACACACTAACTTATGTGTTGTCTCCTTGGGACAAATGCAAGCGCAGAAAGGTTGTAACTAGGCTTCAGGAGTCATGACTATGAGAAAAGACCATCAACATCAAATAAACACATGCAAAATGCCTTTATTTAGGTTAAAGGGTCTTATTAGATAGAGAGAGGATTATGCGTAAGAGACTCCATTGCCTGCTTAATATACTATTTATGGTCAGGTGGACCTGCCTGCCTTTTTTCTCATTTACTTTTTTTTTCCCCCGAAATGTGTGATCTACAGTGTTGAGAGCAGTGACAAACTCAGAGCCAAACCAGGTAAAAGAAAGTATGATTCTTGCAAGGGGCTCCAGGCAGGACTCCATCACAAACAGGCAATGTAATAGGATCATAAGATCATAGAACATAGGGTAATTCAGGTTGGGAGGGAGCTCTGAAGGGCTCTAGTCCTTCCTCCTGCTCAAAGCTGGATCAGCTATAAGGGCAGATTGGGTTGCTTGGGGCTTTATGGTATGTCGCATCTGGGATGTTGGAAAACAGGACAAATGCTGAGATGGTGTATATAGCTGTTGTGCCTCCTGCCACTTTCAAATTGTAAAGGATAGGAAACTAAATTTTTACTCTTTGAATTGTCCCTCAGATAGGGACAGTTTTGGCTCCGTCTTAAAGGGAATGCTGTGAAAGTGTACATGAAGAGATGTCGTCCAAGAATCACAGAGAGCAAAGAAAGGCCACACTTGAGAGTTGTCTGGTTGATATGTGTGTTGGTGCAAGACTGGTCTGCAATGTACTTACAAGCATTTATAAGATATCTGTAGGAATTAGACATGGACCTTTGTTTCTGTGTGCATGCTGAAAATCTCAGCTTTAGCTTTGGCCCAATCTAGTTTTAAGTTAGGTGTTTCTGTCCGAACCACAATTAAAGAGTTTTGAACAAAGTCCCCTTACCATACAGTCATCCTTAGCTAATACTGTACACATAGACATGGATACAGCACAACTGGTGTGAAGTGCGTTAAACTGGCTGTGTTGGCAATGCAGGGTCTGGGATGGGAAGACAGAGAGTATTAAAAGCTAGGAAGGGGGCATGTGTCTGTGTGCTGGGAGAAAGCTGGCTCCTGGAGGACTGGCCCAAAGAAAGACAGAGAATTTAAGAAGTGATGTCTAATTTGGGGGATTCCTTAGAGACAGCAACTGGGACACCAGTTAGGGGAAACAGGAGAAAAAAGAGCATTGGCTGAATGAGTATGTGGGGCTGGGTGGGGACCAGAGAATTTTGGAAGAAAAGAAAGGAGCCTGGTGGTGCTGAGATCACAGGAAATGCTACCTTAGTGTGCAAATAAATAGTAATAGTAATACAGGAGCTGATAGTATAGGAATATAGGCCATATTTGGAAAAACATGGTTAAGTGTTCTTAGAAACAGAGTTGGGAATGCATGCGTTAGCATAATGGAAAACTCATTACACATACATTTAAATATCTTCTCCAGTGTAAGCAGTGTTTTATAAAGGTCATAGGTTCATTCATAGAGTTTAAAAGCCAGAAGGGACCATGGGATCATCCAAAATGTTCTAATACATATTATTACATCGTATCCAGCTGTTTTATGCTAAGCTCAGTACAATAAACACATCCCATCTTGGGGTTCAGCCCTGATTTAGAGAACCCATAAGAAGGACAAGTCACCAATGGCAGCGATAGTAAAGATTAGTGATCCTGACTGTTCAAAATTTGCACTGTGTCTCTAATCTGGGATGTCTCCAGCTAGTGGTTCTTATTATGACTCCTTCTGCTAGACTGAACTGTTCACTTGAAGCTAGTAGTTTCCTTCTCTTGATACATCAAGTCAAGTCATCTTTCACAGGCTCCACGTTGATATACTAAACATCATGATCTTTCGATTTTCTAGCATAAAACATCTCTTTCAGGTGTTAAATCACACCTCAGCCCCATCTCTGCTTCTTCTTTCATCTGTTTTCAAGTTAAAAAAAATGGACTGCCTGAATTATACATGATGTTCCAGTTTCAGTCTCACCCATGCCATGCAGGGGAGATAACATGCCCTGTCCCTAAAATACTCCTCCCTTCTATGTCTTCAAGTAATGTGCCACAGTCAGAGCATTGCAGTATGCATTCTTTGTCCACTTTGTGTGTTTTTCCAGTGCTTCTGTTCCCGACGTATTACAGCTCCTCCATCCTTTAGATACAATTTGACTTGACTCCTGCCCTACTGCTGTGCTGAGCGATGGTTTGCTGCCATAGTTATGTGGGCACAAAAAGACTGAAGTCATCAACCCAAGCACGCTCTGTGACTAACTGTCCCCAAACAGATTTTCCAGTTGAAGGATATGTTTTATATCAGAACAAGTAAAGATTCACTGCATCCCCTGACGTTCTTTTAGGACCAGATTTTTTCATCAAAGTGTCTAACTCCATCCTCACATACAGCTGCATACCCCGACAGAAAATCAAGCTATGTAATGTTTCCATTTATTTAGAGGTGTTCTGTTCCCAGGGAGTTTTTAGTTCATCAGCATTAACTTTGTGTTTATTACAATATATTCACGATCCACTAATTTTCTAATATTGTAGTCCTCCAGACTGGCATAAGCTGTGTGATATTCTGTGGATGTGCTGGAACTATGCTCACCTCTACTGTATGAGTTATTTTAAATTTGAGACTCTGGCAGTGCAGGGCATGCAAGATGCTGCTAAAGCATAAAATTGCAACAAGCAGGGAATTTATGTGTGTGCTAATG